TAAATTCAGACTCTTAGTGACCAAACCAACTACAGGGGTTTGGAGTTATTATTACTTATTTCTTGCTCTGGAATGGTGAAGTTCTTGCTGAATTTTTAAGAAAGATGGTGTTTCTTTTTTACAGTGGGACAGTTCTTGTAAACTGCTGCTGAAAAGGAAGCAGCAGAAGTGCTCTGGGCCCTCAGAGGAACCTTGGCTTCTCAGCCCTCTCCCAGGGGATCAAAAAAATCTAAAGAACTAAGAGAAATTAATTGCTTCTTATTTTATAGTGGGTATAGTTTCATCCAAAACTTTAAAATTGTGAAAAATTTCCCTCTTACTTTGGTTAGCATTTGGTTGATCTTCTAATAAAAATCTAGGGTTAATTCTAGAAAGTCAGTATTTAATTTTTTAGTGGAAGTATGTAAATTACTGTTAATTGTTTAAATGGGTGTAACATAAGAAAACTGTCATATGGAATCACTTATGGTGGTCTTGTAATTTTAGTCACAATTCTGGTAATAAGAAGAATGTTGGCACAATAAAATTTTAACCCAAATGCTTGAAACAGAAATATGCTTTTCTTTCTATGATTTTGTAGTCATCCAGGCCTCTGCATGCTGTAAAACTCAAGAATTACAGTTTTATGTCTTGAATGTTCTTCTTGATTGAGCACTTGGATTCTTTGTTTCCAAGTTTTCAAGGTCTGTAGTCAAGCCCAGGACATGAAATCAGCTCAGTTCTGTTCCTCTGTTGTGTTAAGGGCTCCTAGTGTGACCACAGGCTGGAATTTTAGCACTAAAACTGAGCAGATGATATTTGTTAGAATTGCCATTGACTTTTATTGGAATGAGAGCTCTCTTTGCACTTCAGTTTTCTTCTCTGTAATGTGAGGTGATGTTATTTGTCTCAAAGGTTATGTGTGGGCAAATCCTTAAAGAATGTGGGGATCAGCAATGGAAGGAGGCCTAGAAATCTTTGATAAAAGTTGAAGGCTGCTTCCAGGGAAGAGCTTGTTCTTTATATTTCAAAAGTAAATAAAGCTGAGAGACGAAGCAGGTGGCAGATGATCACATCCTGACATAGTTGTGGTTACATTTATTTTTTAAGCCATGAAATACTGCATGTCATATACTTCTGTGAAACAATTGGCCAAGAATATTTTTACCAGGTCTGAGATAAGGGTAAATACAAGCCTGTGCATTATTTTGAAGAAAACTGTTTTCCTTCTGCTATTGGTTAACCATCTCTGCACCTTGCTTGTTCTCATGATGATACAAATTTGCTATTCACTGACATTGCTTGAGTTTTTAATTTGCTGTGTTCAGTTGGCTCAGTTTTGGAACAGCCACTGCAGGCACACCTATGTCTGTATTTAATTCAAGTACTTTTCCTTATTGGTTAAAATGTTGAGTGTTATTTGCTTAGTAGGAGGAAGCAATGTGTGGGAACCAAAGCCAAGATGAAAACACCAAAAAGGCCAAGCAGTTCTTTGGCTTTTACAGGGGGAAATTCCCAGAACCCATTAGTGCAAAAGTACCAATCTCTAATGTGTGCTGCACATATGTGCACCTTGCTAGCTGGCCTGTGGCCTGCCTGGTGACAGCAGGGAGCCCTGTGACTCTGTCTGTCCATCCCATCACACTTTTGGATGGCAGAACAAACACACTGTGCTTTCCAGAGCGTGCAGCACTGTGAGCTATCAGGGCCTTTCTCAAATTAGTGACAAAATGTCTGGTGCTATCAGCTGATACAGCACTGCACAGAGAGCTTTGCTGTGAGGGTATTACAGGCTGTAATACACTCTGTATTTATTGTCTGAATATTTCAAATGTGTACATCTCTAAGCAGTGAGACATCACAGAAATAATTTCATTTTTCCCTAACAGAAGCTCTTTCTGTCTATATCCAGCGTTGCATAGTAACTGAATTTTCTTGTTTCTTTTCTATCAGAGGATTTTAACCTTCACAGCAGTATTTTGCAGTTTACAGAGCTTGTTGTAACATGTAAAAGTTAACAATTAAGCTAAATACTTTGTCATTAATAAAATGAGCTTTGTGATCAGAAGTATTGGCCTCAAGGTAAATCTTAATTTCTGTAAACTGAAAGTTTTCTACTGAGCTCTACTTTTCATAAGAAAATTGAGACTGTTCATTTCTTCACATAATAATAGCTCAGATTCCCTAAGTTTTGTTTCTGTCACTGATACTGGCACAATGTGAAACCATAGATGAGTAGTTTCAGCTTTATGCCCTTCTTTCATCTCTTTGTAAAATGGAAATTATTATCTCTCTTTGAAGAATTTCTTTTTGTAAATTGTAAATTTGTAAATTTTTAAGCTGGGACTGATTGATTTGTGACCTGTGCTTCAGCCTGCAAAGCAGCCAGATCAGGGTGGAGAAAAGTTTAAAAAAAGTTTAAAACATTAATCAAGATTAACATTCTGACTTGTTTAATCATTTTATTTGTTTGTTTTCTTAATCCTTCTGAGATTTTTGTGGGTGAAAAATAACTATTCAAAGGCTTTTCTCTTGGACAGTGTTAGAGGTGCATGTTCTTGTGGCTGAGCCTCAGTTGTGTGCCCATGAGGCTGAAGTGTGAAATGTGACTGCTCTGGTTTTTGGGGCTTCTGTTCCGTGCTGGGAAGCCCCTGCAGGCCAGTCCTCAGCCCCAGCTGTTTGTGCTGCAACCCATCCCAAACACTATTCTGTTGTTTGGTATGCCAACTGAATATTGCCAGATGAGACAAAAATGAACATGTGATGTTGGGAATTTAGCTGCTAAAAAATGGAAAAGTACAAAACCATGGCTAATTCCAAGTCCTGCACCTGTGTTGATAGCATGTCCTT